ACACGGAGCATCCAGGAGGACGCGATCAAATCCATTAGGGGCTAACTGAAAACAGTGGTTTTGATTACGCTTACAGTCGATAAAACAATGGAAAGGATTTCACTATGTTGTGTGACAAAACGGAAGTGGTGAGCAATCCTAGGGATCGCTAATTAGTATCAGAGTATCTGAGAAGATAAAACACTTACTTATACTTTCTTGGCGCTGGCGCTATACCTTTTTTCAAAGAAAACTAACAAAAAACTAAACTAAAGTAGAACGCATGGCGCACGTCAGATTAAGTACAGACAAGCAACTACGCGCCGGGGTGGATGCACAGTTTAGGTGTAGTTTCGCAGCTGATGGTGGATCTGGGCAACTGAAGAAAGGAACGCACGCGAGCATAAGGCAGCGTTCAGACTTCGCGATGGCAGCGCTTCGTCGCGCGTTCGACGCGATCGATGCAGTCGAAAGCATGCGCATCGATCGCGTCGAACGCGCGACCGAAGCGCTGCCGTCGCGAAGTCTGGACGCTGGCTAACGGAGCCGCTTAAAGCTCAGGAGGGGAAGAGATGACTAACAAAATGAAGTAATTTCCAGCAATTTCAAATTTATATACCGGAACAGAAAATAAACAAACCTTCGCATACTCATCGCCACTAAGATTACTCACAATGGCATTATTAACGCCCAATCTGTGTAAATTTCCAATCACAGCACGACAACGAGTCATCTAAATATACCACGTTTCTTCTCACAAACTTCTTTAATCATCTAACAAAGTATTTGAAGAGAAGTACTTACATTTGCGTCGTTAGCAAACAATACACCGCTATTCTTCATAAGGCTAGCAATATGTGACGTCTTTCCTCCTGGAGCGGCGCACATAATCAAGACAAACACGGTCACCGGGCTGTGGAGCAAGAGCCATGACTGGTAACAACGAATTGAGACCTTGTATCATGTAGTGACCAGCGAGGTACTCCGGAGTTGCTCCTTAAAAATGAAAGGACTCAGTTTCACATTAAACACAATAAACTCAAAACATTTACCTATAGGAACTTGAGAGTCATACACTACTAATCCAACTTTCGTCCAAGGCGCAGCAGGATCTACGTTCATTCCTCGATTAATCAAAGCTTTCGCCAAGTCTCCTCTATAACAGATACAAATGACCACAAATGGCAAAGTTTAAGAAAATATGACTTACACTTGGAGAAATTTCAGATATTCCCCTATTAACCCATTTTCACTTTTGACATCACGGCTAGTTTTCGAACGAATAGAGAAAAAAGCAAGAAAGTTTGCAAGAAGGGATCGTTTCAAAGGTATTCCTGCCACACACCTTTGTTTTGAGCGTGTGTCCTTAACGTGACCAGGACGTTTGTTGGTCATTGGCATCAGAGAATTCTATGTTAACTGACAAATGGACATAATTTAAACGATAAAGTTCGGAAAATGGTGGGACAATTGCCTTGGCATACCTCAGACGGCTGTGGAAAAAAGTTGCATGAATTTTCGTCATAAGGAACTCATTGTAACCGTATTGGGAACATAGATCCTTCGTAAGTATAGCAACATAATCCTCCCTGCTTTTGCCAGGTTGACGGCGAGTTTTGAAGTCACCTAGTACCTGAACAATGAAACCATGAAATTAAAGTCATTACTTGGATGAGAGGCAAACATTATTTTCAAGCGCATTCAATCTCAAAAAAGTAACAGTATGATTTTCGGGAGAATCGGACCCGCTGCTTTATGCACAACTCATGACTAGACGGGCGGCTGAAAAGTAAACTGATTTAAATCCATAGAAGCAGCTTTCGCCAGTTGTGATTATCTACAACATAGGGCACATTATCCCTGAAGAATGCTCAATGATGGAGGTAGTACTTTGCTTTAATGAGAGGAGTGCTCGACAATGTGAGAGGGTGAGGAAAGTTTTGATAAGGAAAAATTCTTCCTCCCCTATGCGACGCGTTTTTCTTCCGGGAAGCGAACGTGGTAATAGAAAAAAATTTCAGATGGAAAACGGCTGTACTCAAGACGGCGGAGTTTTAGACAGCAGTGAATCAGAAGGTGGTGTGGCGTTCTTTCGGTGGATTTCGTGCCGAATATCCGCTTTTTTAGCGATGTATCCACCTTCAGCAACTTTTTCCCTTGATATAAAATCACTGCGTCCGCACAGGTGGGGAAGCCCTGCTCCTCCCGTGGTGCCACTGGAAACTGCTCGTCTCTACGAGCTAAGCCGATCGCACATTCGACGCAGGTGACAGGCCTTCGTGACGGGCCGGCCTACGAACACCCAAGTCACATCACCAATGTTCAGTATGCCATCATGAATTCCGAAAGCTACGGCGTCCGCGGGAGCCGACGCGCACTCGTACGGCCCGGCAAGTGTGGAAAGTATGCAAGGGTCCCTGATGCAAGGACGGCATCGGGGGGGGGGCAACCAGGCTAGTTCAGTTGGTGCCCACCCTGATCAAGCATTCGACCTGAAGAAATGGCATACCAAATTCAGAAGAGCGGACCCCGCCACAGAGCGCGACAAAACGCTGAAGAAT